AGGGAGACAAAGCCCAGACTGATGAAAACGGTTGGCAGCTGCTTTCATTTGTGCCATTCAGAAGCTAGATGATAATTTGTCCTCAGGGACCCATCACTTCTTGGCAGCCAGACCTGTCCACTGCACTTTGCTATTACTTTTGCTGTTACCTCCCGCCCCTGGTGCGTGCAGCACACACAGAGAGTCAATATTCAAAGCAGCTAAGCTAAAATTTACTGCCAAGAGTCATGAAGGATTTAATGTTTCTGAGAAGTGGGAGATAAGATCACATATTAATTTGGTGTTGATAAATATAAAGCAGTAGATATTGGGAAAGACATTTGTTAGATCTACATGAAAGGTTAAATTAGCTATTTCTCAGAAAAGAGATCTCAGCCTCTCTAAACAGTTTAATGAAGGCATTAGCTAAGCAATAAAGGTCAAAGAGGCAAAGCATTCTGAACTAGCAGGCAAACAGATCAAACCTGAAAACATTGTTCCAAATGAGCTTTGAGTTCATATTTTGCATGCAGCGTGGAGCTCTCATTCATTTAAATTAGCTAGAGTGGAATTACAAAATGCACAGGCATGAGTGACCAGATTCTTCGGAGCATGTTCCATATCAGCAGAGATTAAATAAAAGAGGACTTTCCAGCCCGGAAAAAAAGGTTACTAGGAGCTGATAATAATGATGACATATAAAATCATCAATGGGATCCAGGAAAAGAGATGCAATTATTTATTATTTTTTCACAGTATAAAACTGGAAGACCTAAAATGAAGTGCTCACATACCAGGTTGCATGAAATAATTACCTACCAAAGTGCTTTTTTCACACAGCCAATACATATCTGTAGCATTAACTGCCAAAGGATGTTATGGTAATAATTTATAATGGTTAAATGAGGTATTTACCTTGGACCACAAAGTTAAAAAATCCTTCCCAACACTTGGAAACACTATATAAATAGATAGGGCCATCCACCCTTCAGCTGTGGAAAAGCGATAGCAATAGCAATGAGATGACTCCATGAATTTATATTCATGCATGTGGTCTCACCACATCTTAGATCCCTCAAGATGCAGAGCCTCTGATCCCCATGAAGGGAGAAGATATATTTCATACTGTGTCTTTTCTATCTATTTCTGACAGTTTTTATTTTTAAGGATCCCCAAATTGTTGCTAGTATGTTGGATGCCATCTATTCTACCCAGCAACAGAGGAAGTCATAGGTTCCCTCCAGAGACATGCATGCAGAGAGATGGGGGAGAGACAAGCTGAAGCAGACTTCCCATTTTAAGGATTAAAAAAGCAAAAGCACTGGTGTGCTGCAAATGTTCCAGCCACTATTTTCCAAGTACATGATCTGCTCTCTCATCTAAGCTGAACACTTGAATGTGTCCAACTCTCATTGCAAGGTCAGGCATTAGTACAGGCAGCCATGCCCTGCTTCTCCCTTTGGAACCAGTGCTCTATTACAGAATCCCTCCTGCTGTCCTGGAACCTGTCTGCAGCCACCTTCAGTCAGGAGTGGATAGTGAAGGAAAGGGAGGGGGTTCAGCCTTGGAAGTTACTGTGCAAAACAAATGCAAGTGGTGCCACCAAGAAGTTGAAGGGATGCTGTACATAAAGCAGTGCCAAGTTCTCAAATGTATCTGTTTCCCTGGCTATAGCACAGGCTGCCAAAATACAATGCTGGTTTATGGCTGAATCAAATTGCATTTTAGTCATGCTACTGTCACTGTTCTTTGCTACTGCTTTAGTCCAGGATTCCTGCACAAGCCTTCCTTCTTTCACGTAACTATCCACTGATGATTTTTGTTGAGGAAAATGCAGGCAAGTTGGAATTCACTCTTCAGCCTGGAGTCAGGAGTCCTTCCTTTGCTCCTTCAGCCCACGCAGACAAAAGCCCAGGGGCAGAAGGCCAGGAGCTCTTTGTGTGCTCTGCAGCTTGCTTCCCTGCAGCACTGTGGGGACTCAGGCCCTGGGGAAGCCTTGCAGCCAGGGCTGCCCCACAGCTCAGAACTCCACCCAGCCACTGCAAAGCCCTTCAGCCACAGCCCTGCAGCTTTCCTGTCATGGTGCAAACGAGAACACCTCTGAGAAGCCACAAATCTGGTTCTCACACATGAAGATGGAGAATGGAAGAAAACTGGTCTCATTTTCTGCAATATCTATGGCCAAAAATAAGCCGGTACAGGGCAGGAACTGGTGTACCACAAAGCCTGAAAGAGTTTCCTTTTTCCCCAAAGGGTAGGGAGGGAACAGAGCATGAACCAGATCTGGTGCAGTTGCTTTCCTTACAAGGCTGTGCAAGCCAGGCCCATGGCTTGGGCTGCCCTGTGGAGTTGCTTTCTATGACTCCCTTCCCTTCCTGGCTATAGACTTGGAATGATCACTACTCAGCACTGATCAGCAAAGACTGTCTCTGTATCAGGCACACCACACATCACTGAGACACCAAAAACATCCTAGTACAGAAATACCAATGCTTATATTTATTAGCCTCCCCATTGTATGCAGTATCTTTATTTTTTAAACATGTACATTTACCCATCCCTTCTCATTTGCCCTGAATGTAGCCAGTAGCTCAGCTGAAGAGGTGTTTGCCCCTTTCAATTTCTCAGCAATGTCACAGGCTGGGACTGCTGGCTTCCCACCAGATCTCTTTATGCCAGATCATCATGGAGCCCAGTTTGTGCAGCTTCCCAACCAGATGCATGCATTCCCCATTCAAATCCCAGAAACAGCAAAAGAAAAGCCCAGCCAAAATGGAGAAGAAGAGGGCACATGCAGTATCTTCAGTGTTACACAAAAATGTAGTTTCAGTTCACTGTTTCCCAAATACAGAGCCTAGTGATTGGTGATAATTTTCTCTTCTGTCTCCTTAAAACTGTAAAAGAGGATCAGTGCCATTCTTTGGTAGCATGCAGTATTCACCCCAGCACAGGAAATAGTTTGAAACACCAGATGTTCTTTGCAACCAGTGCTTTGGATGTATTTCCAGCAGGGGTTTCTTCCCTCCCCATGAAAACAGACACACATTCTCATTTAACAACTAATTGATTTATTTAACAATACAAATTTCTTTCTACTGCATGGTTTAGCAGAGAGAACTTGAGAAACAAAATTAGCTTCTTTTCTTTTTCTTTTAAAGTTTAAATGTTTACACAAAAACAACCTTTACTTCAGTAAATATAAAATTTACACACCAAAAAAATCTACATTAAAAAAGAACAGAATCATGACAAACCAACAAAAAAAAAAAAAAAAAAAAAAAAAAAANAAAATTTACACACCAAAAAAATCTACATTAAAAAAGAAAAGAATAAAAAAAAACCAACAAAAAAAAAAAAAAGAAAAAAAAAAGAGGATGGGAATTCAGTGTAAAGGATCCAATTGCAAGGAAAGCAAGATGGGGCAACACTAACAAGGCATCCCATTTGTACACCTAGGTATCTGAAGTTGTAAGTACGACACAAACCCAAAATACATTAAAATTAGAATTAAAACCTGTATTTTTATAGCAGAATACTTTATGATATAAATATCTGTAAATTCTGTAGGCAACACAGTTAGTGCATGAACTCCATAGTTTGCTCTCCACTGGAAGGTCACTGGAGTGGTGTACGAGCACCCTGTGGCCCACGAGTGCACTAATGGTCAGCAGGGAGCAGACTTTAGATGTGCAGCCCGGACGTGATAGCCCCTCGTTTCTTTGCCAATCTGTGCTATTTCTCACACATCCAATGACATGACAAGAAATTCTGGTCACCTTCAGCAGTGATTTCCAGCACTTCATCTCCTGGCATTAGTCTGTTACCTGACTTAGGCATATTCACCTGCCAGATCCTGTTTCTCATTCCCTTTTGCACTTTTTAACCTGAACTCTAAAGCTATCTTGTAGCTACCAAGAGAGATTGGCTTCTAGGGTGAGATATTTGGGATACACAGTTCTTCAAGCCACCTTCAGGCATCTGTAGAAATATTTAAAGTAGGGTGGACAATTCACGGTCAAAGGTTATGCGATACAAAAACCAGGGACCTGTATAGTAATGGTTAATTTAGATGTAAATATTTATTATTTTTTGTATTGATTTAATATTTTAACTTAACATTCAGCTTTCATATATTAAATGAGCAGAGTATCTTATTGATGGAAGTGCTACTTTATCTCTGAAAACACCAGGTAGTAAGGGAGACTGTAAAATTTAAAATTAAGTGTAATTTTAAAAATAATCTAAAAGAATCAAGTGTCTTTTGTTTTTATAATCAATACTGTGACTGGCAAACTATAAAAGCTTAAACTATAAAACTATTAGTGACTCTACCTTTTAAATGGTATCTACTATAAAGCTGTATTTTTGTACTTACAGATGTTACAAAATTTCCAAGGCAGGAAGTGGAGGGGGGAAAAGGTAGTCTAAAACACTTTTATAGATTTCATTTTTACTAAGAAAGGTTGTTTCCCCCACAACTGTTTTTATGTCATATAAATCTGATTAAATTCATTGTACTCCTCTTTTTTCTGGGTAGATGATACAGTGTTCAATCATGCTTTGGAAGACCTTTTTCAGTGGATAACTCAGTCCTCTAGGTCAGCAAGTCCAACTTGCTTTACTCAGAAAAAAAGCACCAGACTATCTCTAACTTGGCCATCCTCCTGCAAAAACCTTTGTAGCAAGACTGAGGCAGCCTGTTCTGAGAGTAGGACTGGCCCTGAAGCAACCAGCTATGTTAACTTCTGAAGTAAGCATATGAAATGTGAACATTTCAAGTTGAGGAAGAGCTGAAAAGTATTAAATTTCAGAAAATTTTAGAAATTTCACTTGTTCTGTTAAAAACAAAACAGGGAAAACTTAAACAATCCACAGGTGTGCATTAAAAATTTAATAGCAAGCCTTTGCTTATGTATATTAATTTAAAAATTATCCACAGGGATCTGTGATACATTGGCCTTGCCTTGTTACTATAACTAAATTTATTAAAATATTAATTTAAAATAGGAAAACAAAGAAACTACTCCTTGGGGAACATGTTTATTGTGTTTGAGATGATACACTGGGTGCTCTCTGAGCTACAAAGGGAAAAAGGAAATCCTTTCATTACAAACTGACAAAGGTAAAAGTTAAAACAGTTTTCACAACAGCATGTACCACATATTGGAAATAGATCTGGGTTTAATACAAATGACATAATTCCTAGTAATCTACAGCTACCTTTAATAACTTCATACAGATAATGAATTAGGCTAAAATGCACTATAATATTTGGTTGACTTCAGGAACAGTATCCTTAGTACATCACAAAATACATTTTGATATCCCAAAGAAGCAAGACTTGCAAGTAGGCATTTTAAACATAACTAATCTACAGCTACAAACTTCTACTCTTGATAGCATTTACCTTTCTGAGGGGCAGTATCCCAGTCTTCAAAAGGATAAAAGCAGAGTAGAATCAGTATAACATATACACAGAAGTCCGTATTGTAAAGGCTATAAAGATTTGTTGCACACTGCAAAGTTGCCTTCTGCACCTTCACACTGCACAAGTAGTTTGTCATTTATGTTGCATATCTCTTGGTCCACTGTCTGGCTATCCTGTCATGTTCTGCTCTGTTGGTCAGGTATTGAGTGGCTATGCTTCCAACCAGAGGGTCAGCTGCAAAAGGCAGGAGAAAATGCATCAGCATGCATCCCACAGTAACAAAAATCCCCGAGTAAAACCGTATTTTAAAGTACAGCATCCATTCCAAAATATAGTTCAGACCAGAAATATAGTGGAGCTTTTATCATATAAGACATTTCCAAGAAAGCGCACATGAACAAAGCACAACAAACAGAAAAAGAAAACAGGAAACATCTATTGTGGTTATCTGCATATGAATGACTCTTGCCTCGGGCAGGTGCTCTGCTTTCAGCCCTTTGCCTGCAGGACACATTCAGCAGTGCTGCCTGGCACCCTCCTGTCAGGGAGGTGCACAGGACAAGTGTGAGTTAGAGCATTAGGGGAGCCCTTCAGGAGCCATCGAGCCTTTGTACCTAAGAGGCTGATCCATTTCTGCCTAACTGTGACCACTTTCTGTAAATGAAGGGTCCCTCAGCACTGTTGCTCAGCTCCTGCCCTGACCGCAGGCAATTAGCATCCATCGCCTAATGACACTGGTCACACAGCTGCTGCTGAGAATCTGTACTGCTTCCAGCAGAGCTCCTCCCCTCCCCACAGCATCAAGGAAGCATCTTTGAAAAAGGGAGAGTTTTCTCTGAACATCACCTCCCTCACATTTGGAAGATTAAGCCTTTCAGCTGCTGTCTTAAGAAACTTCCTGCAGCCTCTTCCCACATGCAGGAATTATATCTCAGGAGAATGTTGCTCCTTTCCTGGACTGAACACTCATTTGCTGGAGCTCCTTCAGTACAGACCTTCAATGACATCAGCTTATTTTCTGCATCACATCTTGGAAAAAAAAGGACTTAGGGCTATTTACTTTCTGTTATGTCACAGGAGTGTAAAACACCATTAAAAGTGGGACCACATCCAATATGGAGTGCTTCATCACAAATTAAAAAAATATTAAATTTTATTTAATCTGCGTGCAATCAAATATACAAATTACATTCCATGGCAACTAAGTCAAACGACTGAGAGTCTCTCAGTGAACTATCATCTCCTTACCTGGGTTGCAGTCTGTCAGAAGTGAACAAATAGACAGCAGAACCTTTGAAATAGTCAAAGCAGGGCTCCAGTTGTCTTTCAGGATATCCAGACAGATGACTCCCTGACTGTTGATGTTGCAGTGATAAATTCTGGTGCGGAAAGTAACCTGAAATCACAGCACAAGAGACAGAGAGAGTCATTCAGTGCTGCCCAGGGATGGTGCCCCTTGGCTCTGAGCAGCCCGTGGGATCCAGTTCTGCAGAGCTTTTGCAGATGCAGCTCCTCTCTGCTTGGCTTCCAAACCACAATTGTTTAACAGGAGAGTGACTATTTTCTGTAGCCAGGGCTGCCTTTAAGAAACCTACCATGATGAGATTAGGGGCATAAACTGCTTTCACACAGGCTCTCTGTAAGGACCTACTTTATAGTATGGTAGCTATTTAATGAACATACCACATGTCAGGAACATTCTAATTACAAATGTAACTTTACTGTGGTTTCTGAAGGTGAAGAAGTACACAGAATTTGTCTGCATGTGCAGTATTAATTAATATTTTTCTTTCTTTCAAAAGCCTAAATACAGACCATGAAAATTAGTCTTGTTAAATTAACAATGAAATCTTTGTCCTTACCCTTCATTAGGCAGAATATAATGTACAGCCAAAACAATGCTATTACACTAACTAAATCCATCCTTAAACTATTTCAGATTAATATTGATAAAGCATGTGAACAGTCTGCACAAATAAGAAGTGAAAAATATGTAACTCCTTTAATTACACAAATCACAAGAACATATGGAATTTTTTTTTTCATACTGATGGGGGAGGGGAGTGGAATCCACAATGTATCCTGAAAATTTAAAAACTATCATGTTCTAAAAAAATCTATAAGATTAGAATGAGGAATTTGTCCAAAACTGTGCATCACTTCAGTATAACATTCTTAATTCAGAACTTATTAAATGCTGTGGGTTAAAAAGAAGTATGAAATACAGAGTATATATTCTTCATGTTGTAGTAATTCTGGGAATGAAAAAAGATATTAGATTTATAGAAACTAGTTATAGTCCCCAAAGACGTAAGTTGTATAATGTTGTGTGGTAAAATGTATTTAGTTGTGAGAGTTTTGCAGTGTCATTTGTAGTGACTTGGTCAAGAGTTGGCAATTTGGCATTAAGAGAGGGGAAAAGGGAATGAATGACCTTTAAATTCTTTCATATCCATTAGTAAATTACAATTTATTAGGTGTCCATACTATTTCTGAGCAAGGAAGTGACATTTTAATTTAAGATTAGTTTAATTTAATAAAAAGAGCTTTTGCTCAAAAACATTACCAAACAAGATTGCTGATTTTAGCAGTAGTAAATAGACATTTTAAAATAATGGAAATTCATCACACTAATTTACCCAATTTAAAGTCACAATATAACACTCCAGTTTTCTATATGAACTTATTTTAGTCTTTTCTTATTTTTTTAAAAATTACTGATAATATTTAATGTACAATCTGGCTTATAACAGGAAAGACTATTAAACACATATTTTAGTAGCTAGAATGAGAAGAAGGAAACATAAGTCTTCTGTTGTTTTCTACTAGAACTAAAATTTCTTGACTTTTACGTGTTGATCCGAATTATCATCTCATTTATCACTTGGTGAAGTTTGGAAATCAGCACTGACTGTGTTAATCAAGAAGTAAATTAGATGGGATTTTTCTGAGACTGCAAGCCAAGATTTTGGACCTTGTAGTTTTCAAGAGACCATAAACAAATTTGCTATTCAGAAAGTGATGTGCAGTCATTTGGCTGTAAGCTGTATTCTTCTCACATGAAAAAAGGATAAGCACAATAAACATCCTACCCTTACCTTTGGTGGCTTGAATGGATAGTCAGATGAAAATGTGATATCCAGGAAGAAAACACCTCCTTCATATACAGAACCTGGAGGTCCAAGTATAGTAGATCTCCATTCATAAATGTTATCTCCTTTAGGACCGGCACTGTGTAAAGAAAAAAGAGGAGAGGGAAAGGAAGACTCAGATGTACTTTTGAGAGAGGCATTTTATGGATTTCCTTCAGCATTCATTTTATTGCATAAAAACCATTTGATTCTTTTTAACACCTGCTCAATTTCCAGCTAATTTCAGTGGGCTAGGTGTTTTAAACTGGCACAAAAGCTGGGTACTCTGCTGTCCCCTTTGAAGAGACAGCAATGAAATAGAATGACAATGCACTCCTGGTTTTTCACTGTCCAAAACATATCCCCAGATTTATTTTCTTGAGTATATCATTGCTCTGAGTTTCTACATCACCCTTTCATTGCCATCATATTAGTACACAAAAGGAGTTTTACATCTTGACCACATTTGTCTTCTCCAAGCATTTAACAGATCACATCTCCATAAAAAATGTGGCTTTCAAGTATATTGATACACATTTATTGCTACTTGTTTCATAGACTCGAGTGAAATGTTACACCTTGGGCAGCAAACTAGGGAAGGGTGAGAGAACCAAGTAACATGGAATTGTTACAACTTCTTGCAGCAGTTGTTCCAAATAACTGTTTCTTTGGGATATATTTGTGCTATGCCTCTGGGCAATCGGAAATGAGACAACGAGCCAAAAATATTTTATTTTAAGAATGCATTTCTCACTAGGGGAAGGGTTACTGCATAATTACTTCTTAAAGTAAAGGTTTGAAAGAATGGATGATCCAGCATTTTCTCAAATTCTAGAGCTGTCACTAATGCTATTATCACACAGTAACCATCTAACCTCACAAAAAACCCTAAACAAACAATAAATCCCTCCCCTCCCCCTCACTCCCAAAAAAAGCAACCACCAAAAAAAAAAATCAAATCTTTAGCAAGTCTGAATAAAAATTAACCTAACCTTCCACAAAATGTCCTGAATCCACCCTGCTGAGAGCCAAACTTACTGAACTGACTGCTGTGGAGAGCAGCAGCACTGAACTCATGCAGACACAGTGGCCTGATGACATCCATGCAGATGAGCCAATGAAACAGCACTGTAAAAGGTCCTTTCAGTTTTCCCCACCCGGGCAGTTTCCCAGGCACCACCTCCATTTCCCAGACATGCTAAAGCAGCCCCATCCTTGTCTCGCTGTGGTGGCCAGGAACAGGCCCTGGGACTGTCATACATGAATTGTATGAAGTGAGTGACAGGGCATGGCACCACACTGCAGCCTGGGAATTTGTGGTTTCTGGAACTGCTCGACACACAGAGGAAACTCCCCGCAAATAAAAGGCTCTTCCTATGTCATGTCAGCCCACATATTTGTCATACATATGTTTGCAGTCTGTAACACAACATGTTGGACATTCATCCTTACTATGTAGTCAAACATGGAGACACTCATCAGACACAAGGAATATGAGCAGTCTGCACTATGGATCTGCAATCCCCAACACCCACCCCTGCAAAATGTAGGGATTTTTACACTGAGATAATATTTGAGGAAAAAAATATAATTATGATTATGAATTCTCTTTCAATTCATAAATTTCCAAGATGCTTTTTATCTTGCAGACATTTCATGTACCAAATGTTGCAGTTCTTTCATAAACAGGACAAAATAATCATGGAATTTGGATGACACCCCATTTAATTAAAAACAAAAAAATTATTTTATGAAGCTGTAGCTATATTCCTGTTGCCAAAATGAAAGTAGGTAACAAGAGAATGCTGGCCTCCAGAGCATTCTCCTGGGAAAAAAAAGGCTTTTTTTGTTGAAAATTAATTCCAGTTGTTTTCAAAATTAAGTTTTGGTTTTACCTTTTTCTTTTTTTTTTGAATTGTTTGCTTGGAGTTGGAGGAAAATTTTTGGTTCCTTTTTAGGGAAAAAAAAAGGGAAATCTAAAAGTGAACAGGTCCATTTTTGGTAATGCAATGAACCATTTGTACCTTCAGTCCCTCCAGAAGATAATTTTATTCATGCTCTCTAAAAAACAATTAGTGTAGGAACTGAAAATACTGGGGCAATAATGACAACACTTAAAACCCACACAGGGCACTGAAATGTTTCAATTAATTCTTGACATTCATCAAGCTTACAGCTAATTAGTATTGTGCTTGAAAACCAAATTTCTGTGGAGCAAATCAATTTCAGCATAGGATGTCCTAATGACTGCTTTATAGTTTAATGCAGAGGTTAGTGCTCTTGCTCTGCATGTCAGGTACCTTTCTTTCATACACTTCCAACAGCTGGACAAAATTCAAACACATTAATGAAATGGATGTATTAAATCAGTGACGTTTCAGCCCAATGAATCAGTCACAATTAAGTGCAGCACCAGAGTCAATCACTTACTAAGTCAGAGCTAGGGCATCCGTGAGCTGGTAGCCACAAAACACAAAATCTTGATGGAGCAACAGGTCTGAATGACAACTTCAGTGTTCTGGCTACAGAGCATACAAGTGCAGCCCATTGCTAACAGCCTGCTGTCCTCCTAAATTAGCTTCAGAACATCACAAATTCAGTAAAGGCATCAATAATTCATTCTCAATAAAAAATCCACTTGATTAATTTTTTTACAATATGGGCTAAAAAAATCTCAGACAAAATAACAAAGCAATTTAATTGAAATGACAAAATATTATTTGCAAAATTAGGGGGGGTTACTTCATACATTAAAGATGAATTGCTTTTTAAAAATAAATTAGTTAACTGCCTGCATCTGCTTCCTAAGCAAATATTCATTATGTCACTTTACTGAGGGATATATACCTGATTCAGATAAGAAAGGATTTATGACCATGCTGTAGCCAAGCTAGTCCACAGAACGGATTTAATTTACAAGTGTGACTTGAGATGGTGAATTTGAAAAGACATGAGGTTAAACTTGAGGAGCCCATGGGGTCACACAGGTCTGTCACACCTAACTCTCCTGAACCCCCGCTCTCAAGTTTCCCGAAGATGAAGGACAGCTTTTCCAGAACAGTGTTAAGAGCATTCATGTGGATGCAGTGGCATTCACACCAGCAAGTTCTGTTAGTTCTGTAACCACTAAGCAGAAGTTCTGAAGCAAGAAGTTCTGTAACCACTCCTGATGCAGTGGTTACAGAAATCCAAGTTCAGCTTTTGTTACAATTCATTAAATCAAAATGTATTAAAGCTGCCCATATGGAACTAAATGCAGGACAAGAAACTAGGACAAGGAATCTCCAATCTACATGATGCTGGTAGCATTTTGCTTTCTGCACTTACTAAATGCAATGCTGCCAACAGGCCTCCTCTAAAACACAAGGCTCTAAATCTGGCGACAGAATGCAACTTCATACTGAGACTGTGCTAACGGAGAAGAAAAAGAATGAAGGAAAATGTAATTTGGCCAAATTTGATGTTAACTCTGTGTTACGCTTTATTATGATATTGAATATGGGCCTGCAATGGCATACAACTGGGAGGGAGTGTCCTTGTTTTTAGGAAGCTTCCAACAGTGAAGTCAGTCTGTCTCTAAAAGTCCTATGAGAAATGTCATTGGTATCACAGAACTAAAGGGTCTACACCTCAAAAAAACCACTGGGGGTTTAAGTGGTGGAATATCTTCTCATGTTCTTCTCTCAAAGGCTCTGCCCTCAGGTATGATACCCAAGCAGGTAGAATCATAGAACTGTAAAGGCTGGAAAAGATCTCTACTCATTATCACAAAGGCAGCAGCTAACAAACCAAATGGGGCACCTAGGGTGAGAATTAGGAAAGGAAGGTAAAGAAAGACCTCCCTCCATCCTTCCCAGATGTTTAATTCAAAATGAGATTCAGCCAAAGTAAAACTCTTGGAAGACTGCTCAGCTACAACTCTGTCACTGTGTAATTTTTACAGCAGTGTAAGTGAAGACATTGCTTTAAGAGAGGGATAAGACATCTCTTTTGATTTTTCTTATTTTAACTGAAGGTACTAAGTAAAGAAAGAAAAATGCCCTCAAGCACATTCCATAACCTTGTACTTGAAAAATCCACTTCATAATGCTACAGTATAGTGAAGTTCTGCAAAATCTTCAGCATAGCTTTGGAAATTGACTTTTACAAATCCTGCTGGAGGAAAGGCACTCAGGATGTTACCAGCACAAAAGTCTGTATATTGGAACCACTGTCTCAGCTAAAGCTGTTGTATTAGCTAGCTCAGTGTCACACCACGAGATACTAAAGGGGCTCTGACAGATGCCACCAGCACATACAATTCAGGTAAATATACACACCCAATCTGTAGGGAGTCTGCCTGCTTCACCTTCTCAGCTTCTGAGCTTGATGAACTCATTTCCCATTGAAGAAAAGTGCCCCAGGCTCAGGTAACTTCAACTTATCACAGTGGTGTAGATCCATATTTACCATGCAGGATATCTAGTGTGGATGCTGATGTTTGTCCCACAGGCTACCCAGACAATCAGGGTAAAGAGAAGAGTGACTGCAGCACCCAGAATATCTAAATACTCCTTAACACCAATGTGTTCCATCTCCCTCTGGTGACACCTACCTTTCACCAAAAACAATGGGGAGCCTGGCTCCTAACTCAAGCCACTAAGCTCAGCACTTGAGAAAATCCTCCTCACCCTTCCATGTAGTGAGAAAGTGAATGAAAACAGAGCTAGACAACCCTATCTAGTAGCACACTACCTTTTTATCTAGCTACAGATACACACTTATGCTGCTGGTAATTAAAGAACAAAAAGTAATCTCACAAGCAACCAAAGGATCTCTATCTGGGGCAAGCTGTCTGAGTTGCTCAGTGAGGCTGAAGAGAGTACAGATCACTTACCAGTAGTTATGTTTTAATGGTAAGCATGGGAATAGAAAATGCTCAAAATATTTTCTTGCTTTGATATTTTCAACATTTTGAAGAAAATTTGTCCATTATCCTTTTTTTTCTTAATTCTCTTTTCCAAGTGTGGAGGCCCTCTTGTGGTTTTGCAAGAAAGGAAATGAACATTAATTAAAAGGCATATGTTTGTGTGTGGCTTTCAGTTCTATGACCTATGACAA